GGGGGGTATATAAATAGATCCAACTTTCCGTCTGTAGGAAGTGAAACTCCTTCAAAGATGAAGTGTCGCACATGGACCCACCCCAACCCTCTGGGATCCGTGTGCGACGCCTACTTTGGTGTATCTTCCTCTTCTCCTTCCTTCTTTCTTACTTCTTCTATTTCTTCTTCAACTGCTGACGTCATGTGGAGCAAAACTAGAGGTCATCACATTCAACATTTTGCCCTTTGTGTTCACTTTCTGTTATAACAGTATCTCAGAAGAAATAAATAATATTCATAATGAAGCCCATGAAACCCCCAGATTCTTTTTAGGTCAGTTGCGTTGCCGGAAAGTTGTGACAAAGCACAAATTTATCAGTCTCCAAAAACCCGAGTTACCTGCGAGCGCGATAATTATCTGTTTCATTGTTTATATTTGAGAGAAAACAGTTTCGCAACTAAAGTTGCCCTGTGCGCGCCTATCCTCAACAGCACAAAGTCTGTGCGCACAGTGTTTTAAATGAGTTGCCCAGAGACAGCAACTGTTGCGCTACTAAAATTGCCCTGTGCGCTCCTTGCCTAGTGTAGAAAGGGGCGTTAAACCTATACCATTTCACCAGTTTTCACCATTTTCCATTCAAACACCATCATATTGTATACCAAAATTTTCAGTATTATCTCCCCTACACTATCGAACTGAGTGCGCATGAATACATCCATTTCATTAGCGGCAGCATTCATTGCGCCTCCTAACACATCTGCTGACTTACACTCTCAGTTACTTGTGTTGTGCTTCAAACTTCTGCAGAAGTGAAGGCAATTCTCCATACTTTGTTTTTACACCCTGCGGTTTTACAAAATGTGGCAAAATGTGGCATATCATTAAACTACTCAAAATATTTTAAACAAAATCAACATATCAACATGTTCAGTATTGAATTTGCTACAAGAATATGCCCTAATATACATATTCAAAATTTCCGACAACAGGGACCTTTTCCAAAGCACACGGTACACACTTTTAAGTGTTCAAAGATTCAAGCTTTGGAAGCCCCTGAACTACGGCGACCATCAAGCTTTCACACTTTTGTTGGGCGAGGAAGCCTGAATGGGGAGAGAGGTGTCTGTGTTGGAGGAAAGCGGAGAGAGATAAAGAAAGGAGTTGTATTCTGTAACCCAGTCACTATGGGTTTAATGTGTGGGACCGTGAGAGAGTGCTTGTCAGTTATGATCTCTCTCTCTCTCTCTCTCTCTCTCTCTC